CTCCTACTCAGTCCTACAGTGCCGTGCTTCTCTCTTGCCTTCTTCTTTCTCTTTCAACTCATTCTCTGCTTCTACCTGCAACATTTCCCACTTTGTATTTAAGTAAGTGCTTTAAATGTTTGCCTCTCTAATTTTTTTTAAGATTTGTTTTTTATTTGGAAGGCAGAGTTGCAGAGAGAAGAAGAGACAGTGAGATTTTTTTCCATCCACTGGTTCATTCCCACAAATGGCCACAACTGGCCAGGGCTGAGCCAGATCCAAGCCAAGCATCTGGAATTCCATCTCACTCTCCCACATGGGTGCAGGGGTCCAAGCACTTGGGACATCTTCTGCTGAGTACATTAGCATGGTGTTGGATCAAAAGTGGAACATCCAGGACTCTAACCTATACCCATAAGGGCTGTCAGTATCACAAGTGGCTGCTTAACCTGCTATGCCACAGGACTGGCCCCATTGCCTCCCTAATGGAATTGTAAATTATCGGAGGACCAAGGCTCCCTGTCAACTTCTTGCTCACAGACTCTGACAGAAATGTGTACAGTAGACCTTGAATAAATATTAACAGAATTAATCAAAGAACAAAGCATTTAAATCTCATTGCATGAACACCCTAGCTGTCCTGAACCCTGAAGCTTCAGTTTCCTTATCTGTAAAATGGGTGTGTACATAGTACTCACACGGAACTGGTCCAAATGAGAGAAAGCAATCCACTGTGGTGGATTGTAGGTGCTTGTCCTGTGGCACCTGGTAGTTCTCTGGAGGGAAATCTAGGCAGCATGCAGGCCGAAAGACGGGGGACAGAGCACCCTTCTCTGAAGATACAGTCACGGGCCTGCTGGGGGCTGTGGCGCATTTCCGCAGCGCTGGGCTTCCTGGGTTTTTGTTGTCCTTTCTTGGACAAGGAGGGTGGCACTGGCCCTGCCCGGGCCGGCAGAGCTGTGATGTAGACACTGACTGGTCAAGAAAAGGGGAAACGCTTGAGCCCTCAAGTGATGCTGGACTCTCCCATCCCCCAGCCTGCTTTGACTATGGAACAATCCACAGTGGGCCCAGAGAACCTGCAACAGGAAATGCAAGCACTCACCCACCCCAAACACACACACACACCTGGGAAGAATCAGTGTCCTACTCAATGCAAAGCCAAGCACCCCACATCCACTAGTCCTGCCTCCTCGGGCTCTGAGCCCTGCCCGGCTCCTCCCACTCTAAGCTGAAGACTGTAGCCAAGATCTCCACCTGGGAGTGGCTTAACTCCTGTGCCTCCACGCCTGCCCTCCCTCCACACGCTTTCCAACAAGTGTTTCCCATTCCACCCATGTGCTAGCATTTATTTTCCCATTCCTTCGGGGCATTCAAGTTGTTTCAAATGGCAGTGCCAGTGTTTCAGCTCCGGTTTAACTCCAAGGAGGCAGCAGGTAGCAGTACTTCTTGTATTCAGCTCTGCTTCCTGTGACACAATGTTTGCTCCCTCGAGAACTGATAAAAGCACTGCTTTCGAAGAGAGTATGTAGTTGTGTAATTGTTCTTTGATGCAAATACCAAAGTTAGGCGATAATCTTTGAATTAAAAAATGACAACACCAAACACGGGCAAGGAAATTGTGCGTCTCTGGTGGGCATTCCCAAGGAGAAAAGGCACTTGGAAAAACCAATGTGGCTATTGATCATACAGCTAACCGAATGCTAACTCTACGACCAGTCCAGTTCCAAGCATTTACCCAAGAGAAGTGACGTATGTGACACTTGCCCTTGGATGACTAGAGCAGCTTTATTATTTACAGGCGAAAGCGGAAAGCAACCCATACAGCCATCAACAAGAAAGGGGATGAACAAATGTGGGTTCACGCATGCCATGTATCAGCACTCAGCAGAAGAAAGGGACAAATGAACGGAACACATCCTGACTTGTGAGGACAAGAAGACAACAACAAGATACGGTATGATTGTGCTTAGGTGACATTCGAGAAAACACAAACCCAATGACAGAAGGCCAGTCAGTGGTGACCCAAGACCACCTGAGGGTGAGAAGGGTGAATGGCAGCAGGGCACTGGGAATAGAAATGTCCTGTGTCTCGATTGGGGTTATGAGTACTCAAGAGTGAAATGTGTGTCAAGCTGACACTTGTAAAGGTGCATTTTACTTATAAGTATTCCATGATAATGCCTGATAGCGCTTTAGGAACACATGCAGGGATTCCAACTGCCATTTACTTTAATTACAAAAGCATTAGGAACTGCCCATAAATAGAGAAACACTTCAGTTCTCCTGGGTCCTTTGCCATTAGAATGGTGAAATTTTTTTAAAGATTTATTTGTTTTTATTTGAAATGCAGATTTACAGAGAGAAGGAGATACAGAAAAAGATCTCGCATCTACTGTTTCACTCCCCTAAATGGTAGCAATGGCCCGAGCTAAGCCGATCCAAAGCCAGGAGCCTCCTCTGGGTCTCCCATGCATGTTCAGGGTCCCAAGGCTTTGGGTCATCCACACTGCTTTCCCAGGCCATAAGCAGCTGGATGGGGAAAGGAGCATCCAGGACACCAACCAGCAGCATCCATATGGGATGCTGGTGTTTGCAGGTGGAGGATTAGCCAATTGAGCCATCACACCAGCCCCAAATGGTGACGTTTTGCAAAGGACAGGGGGCAGCAGCTGCTTGTGCTGACCCTTTAAGGTGCCCTAGGCCTTTATCAAGAAGTATATTTCTCTTCTGGGAAGTGGAAGGTATGGGGCAGGCCAGAGATGCAGGAACATGAACATGCTTCCAGATATCCCTCTAGGAACTGACAGGACTTGGTGTGGCGGTTCCAGGATGCCCTGGCAAGGACGGACTCCTGGTGCACACCATGGGCACTTGCTGGATGATGCTCCTTTCCTTGCCTCCTCTGCTCATCACCCACTCCCCTGCCCACAGTCTCCTTTCACCACCCAGGTCAGCGGGACACTTCTGGGAACTCAAGTAAAATCTGGTGGACGATGATGACCATCAACAAAGATCCGGGGAGAGGACAGGACAGGGCAGGACAATGGTCATGCCGGAAACACCTGTTACTCTTGGCAAAATTAGTCTTTTTTTTTTTTGGCAACTTTGCCAGGACTGACTGTCATTTTCAAAAATTTTTATTTATTTATTTGGGGGGGAAGAGATAGACTATCTTCCATCCTCTGCTTCAGTCCCCAAATGGCCACAAAGCCAGGAGCCTAGCACCTTATCCAGCCTCCCCATGGGTGGCAGGTGTCCAAGTACTAGTACCATTATCTGCTGCTCTCACAGGCTCCTTAGCAGGGAGCTGGACGGGAAGCAGAGTGGCCAGGATTGGCACTGGTGCTGGGTTATGGGATGCTGGCACTGAGTGGGGTGGATTAGCCTGCATTGTTAAATCTAACCTAGAGCCAGATTTTTAGCAATAGTGAAATAAGAGAAAGTACAGCATTGAAATGGTACCGTTCAAATAAATTAAATCCAAAAGCAAAAGTACATGTATAGATTTAAACCTAGTACTAAGATCAGGGTCATTGTCTTTCATTTATGCTTTTGTTGCCTCCTCCCATGCCCCTGGAGACAAATGACTGAGTCTGGAGCCCGTTTTGGTTGTCACTGCGGAGGGGGTCACTGCTGCTGTGTGCAGGCAGCCACGCTGTCAAACATTCCTCCAGTACAGGATGGCCCCAGCCGGGAGTTACGTGGCCCAACAGCCACAGCGCCAAGGCTGAAGAGCCCCCACGCAGTGCACAGCCCCCCCCAAAAAAAACATGAATGAAGGAGTGCAGGCTTGGGTGAGGGGTGGCTGGCCTGGCTGGCAATGGCCAAAAGAAGAGGCGCAGTGGGGCTGTATGTCGCCGTATTATAGCAGAGTCCCTGGGTCTCCTGGAAGCGGGCATGCTGCCACCACCGGCCTCCTTCAGGGCACAGTCCCATCAGCTAGCCTCTTCTCCCCTCGACTCAAGGGATCTTTGGGGCTGCCCAGAAGCTGGCCCAGCTCCAGTAAGGAGGTCCCCATGGGTGAGGAGCTTTGCATGGTGTTTGAATAATGCTGGGCCTGCTCAGGGAAGTCGCTGACCACATCAAGGCCAAAGGTTCTGGCCAGGGGTGGAGAGCCTGGGATGGAGGGTCAGAATCTTTGAGTGGTGGTTTCCAGCAGAGGCGTGTAGGACCAGTGAGCAAGAGCAGTTAATTTTAAGGCCCAAGTTGGTGGCTTTGGCTAGTAGGATTGAAATCCTGGAGGAGGAGGAGTTCCTTGGGAGAGAAAGGATGGGGTCACTCTGGGGCAATGTTGGGACCCTAAATTGGGGGAGAGGGCAGGATGAGTATCCTTCCTAGAGGAATTGGCTGGGGCCTACCAGGTAAAACAAGCTGCTGCCAAAAATGTGGGCATTCCATAGCGGGTTGGAGTTCTGGCTACCCCACTTCCCATCCAGCTCCCTGCCTGTGGCCTGGGAAAGCAGTCGAGGACAGCCCAAAGCCTTGGGACCCTGCACCCTCGTGCAAGGCTCACAAGAAACTCCTGATTCCTGGCTTCAGATCAGCTCAGCTCTGGCAGTTGCTACCATTTGGGGAGTGAACCAGTGGATGAAAAATAGATCTTTATCTCCTCTCTGTAAATCTGCCTTTTCCAATAAAAATAAATAAAGCTTTAGAACATTTAAAGTAAATCGTCCGGGGGCTTTGTTAGGATGGAAGGAGATCAGACTTTAGGGGTCCCAGGACCCCAGGTTGGAATCCCTAAGGATGAGTTAGACCGGTCAGGGCGCAATTAGAACATGTTAGGAAAGTGTTACCGCCGCGTGCAAGGTTTCTTGGGGGGCGGTGAATGGTCCAGGATGACCCTGAACCGGGCTAGGATCCCCCGGTAGACTCGAGTCTTTCGGGCGGTGCTAGGAGCCTTGGGAGGCGGGGTCAACATCGCCGGGGCGCGGCCGGGTGCGCGGACGGCCCGAGGGCCCGAGGCGTCCCTGCTTCCAGCCCGGGAACTTGGCCGAGGCTGAGGCCAGCGAGTGGGAACGCTGCCGGCCGGTGCCGGAGAAGCCCACGGTGGAGGCCCCCCAGCTCGGCCTTCTGCAAAGTCCGTCTTCCTCCCTGTGGGCGCCTCCCGGGCTCCGGGGACCGCTGAGCTGGGGGGACGCTCGAGCTGCGAAGATCCGGGCAGCCCGCGGGGCGAAGAGCGGGCGCCCAGGTGAGTTCCGCGGGCGGGTCCTCGGGGGATCTCCTGGCCGGGGAGTCCGGGCACAGGGATGGGCCATGGATGGGGATGATCGCCAGGGGTGAACGAGAGTGGAGGGACCCCAAGAAGGAAGCAGAGCCTCGCCCGCCGAGGCTGCTGGAGCTGCACTTCTCGGCTCTGTCCAGGTTCCCCTTCTCAGAATGAAAAAAAAAAAAAAAAAAAATCAGAAGCAAGAAGGAAGGGACAGGGTTGCAGAGAGCCCGGACCGCTGCCTCGGTGACTGGAGGCGGTGGTGCTGTAGCTGGGTGGAGCATGACGCGCCCCGTTGCAGCTGAGTCCCTTCAGAGCTGGAGCCCGACCTGTCCCTCTCCCCGAGTTCTAGGCCAGGGCCCCAAACTCCTGGACCGAGACCAGCGGGGGCCTGCTTGGCCCTTACCCTCTGAGAGTCCTTGGGCAGGTCAGTCCAGCTGTCTGTCGGAATTCTGGTCTGTACAATGGTTTGTGACAGGTGATGTATGTGGCAGCCTGCCTGCCCGGCCCTGGGAAGGGGACCTGACCTTCCTGTGCCCTGGTTTCCTGGATGGGCAGGCTGGAAATCACACTGGGAATACAGGTGGCGGCACCCTTGCTGGCATGCTCAGGTCCAGCAGGATTTGGACTTACTTAGGAGTATTTGCATCTACATACTGAGAGGCCTCAGGGATGGGCCTAAGTCAGCGTTCCAAATCGATTTACGTGTCACACTCTCGGTAGCAAAGCTGCATGTTGGCACAGCGCTTAGGTTGTCCCCACATTCAAATGTGTGGTTCCAGTGCGGGTTCTGCTTACAATCCGAATTTCTGCAAATGTGATGCTGCAGTCGTGGGAGACCTGGGTGAGGTTGGTACATCCAAGGCCCGAGGCTGGGCCTGCTGTAGGCATTTGAGGGGGGATAGCAGGATGAGAGCATCTGTCTCCCCCACCCTTTCTCTCTGCCTTTCAAATAAATAAAAACAAATGGCTAAAATAGCAGATGAAACAGAAGCAGCCCTCCGTGTTTCTCTTGGTCTCTCCCCACAGAGGCAACCACTATCACGGATTCTAGCCCTTCCAGTCTAGGCTTTTGTTAAAAAAAAAAAAAAGAAAGAAAGAAAGAAAAGAAAAAGTCACTCATTTGAAAGGCAGAGTTACAGAGAGAGGGGGAGACAAAAGGATAGAATCTTCTATCTGCTGGTTGGTTCACTTACCAAATGACTACAATGACCAGAGCTGGGCCAGTCTGAAGCCAGGAGCCAGGAGCTTCTTCCAGGTCTCCCACCTGGGTGACAAGGAGCCCAAGCATTTGAACAGCCTCTGCTGCTTTCCCAGGTGCGTTAGCAGGGAGCTGAACCACAAGTTGAGCTGCCAGGACTCAAACCAGTGCCCTATCCAATATCGTTGTGCAGGCAGTGGCCTAACCTGCTATGCCACAGTACCAGTCCCCAGGCTGTCCCTTGATGCATTTGCTGTATATATACTTATGCATAAGCAAGCCAGAGTTGTTTCCCGTGCCTTGGAGAACTGCTGTCATTGCCCTTGACCCATGGGGAGCACGTCCCCAGGACCGAGGGCTGCCCACAGTCACAGGTAGCACTGAGCCTCTTTCCTCAACCTCAGCAATTCACAGCGTCTGGCTTGCATCTCCAGGTTGCCAGCGTCACTGCACCAGTGCTTTGGAGCCATTGTTAAACCTGAGCACAAGCAGGCAGACAGCTCAACAGTGCACCTGAGATCCAAGACAGCTGGCGGGTAGTTTAGACAGCCTGGATATAATGGACGAGGATGACTTGCATCAGGGGCAGACTGGAAAGGGGACCCTGTGCGATTTCAATGCGCTACTCAGAACAGCTGGTAGCGAAGCTTAGGCGTTTGTTGTTTCTAGAATTGTCCATTTAATATTTTCAGACCATGGTTGACCATAGGTAACTGAAGCCACCAGGCAGAGTGAGATCACAGATGAGGAAACCAGCATAACAGGTTTTTTTTTTAAGATGTATTTTAAAGATTTATTTATTTTTATTGCAAAGTCAGATATATAGAGAGGAGGAGAGGTAGAGAGGGAGATCTTCCATCCAATGATTCACTCCCCAAGTAAGCACAACGGCCGGTGCTGTGCCAAACCAAAGCCAGGGGCCAGGAACTTCTTTCAGGTCTCCCACGCTGGTGCAGGATCCCAAAGCCTTGGTCCATCCTCAACTGCTTTCCCAGGTCACAAGCAGGGAGCTGGATGGGAAGTGGAGCTGTGGTATTAGAACCAGTGCCCATATGGGATCCAAGTGCGTTCAAAGCAAGGACTTTATCTGCTGGGTCCTAGGGTGCGTCTTTGATGACAGCCCCCCTCCCCCCGCTCCCGCCCCGCCCCGCCACACGCACTTCCGGGGTGTCGCCTGGGTGAACACATCATCTCATCATCCCTTCTAAGCACCGGGGAACACCCGAGCAGGTGGCCATCCTGCGTTCTCACGTCTCTGAGCTGGATGCTCAGGATGCAGCTCTTTCTTGAGGAAAGCACTAAGGGTTAGATGGTTTTGCAGAGGAGGCTTCGTCAACCCTCACCTTAAGTGAGGAGCCTGGAAGGTGCTCTGCCCCCGGGAAGGGGACGCATTTGGCTCACAGGCCTCATACAAGCAGCTTCAGAATCCTGTTCAATGTGGCTGAGACTTGGTAGGGGCCAACATTTGAACATATTTTAAAAAGTGCTCTTTTTAAAAAAGATTTATTTTTGTTTTTATTGAAAAGTCAGATATACAGAGAGAAGGAAAGACAGAGAGGAAGATCTTCCTTTCCATAATTCACTCCCCAAGATACCACAACAGCCAGAGCTGTGCCAATCTGAGATCAGGAGCCTCTTCCTGGTCTCCCATGTGGGTGCAGGGTCCCAAGGCTTTGGGCCATCCTCGACTGTTTTCCCAGGCCACGAGCAGGGAGCTGGATGGGAAGCAGGGCTGCTGGGATTAGAATTGGCACCCATATGGGATCCCGGTGCGTGCAAGGTGAGGACTTTAGCCATTAGGCTACCACATCAGGCCCATAGAGTACTCTTTACTATGCACCTTTGATTTAACACAATTAATGCTGAATGCACCATTCTTCTCCTATTTGCTTAGTATTTTATTGTAAGCATATTTTTTACATCACTGAAATAGTCTTGCATTTTTAATGGCTTTATAATATTCCATTGTTTGGAAGCACTATATTTGTTTAAACTTTTTCACGGAGCACTCTTACTTAGGTTGCAATTTAAAAATATTTTAATAAAGCTGAAATGCAGATGCCTTTATTAAAATGAGCCATTTAGGGTGGCATTGTAGTGCAGCAGGCTAGACCATCACTTGCGACACTGGCATCCAATATTGAATGCCCCTTGGGAAGATGGCCCATGTGCCAGGGTTCCTGACAGCATCCTCTGCTGCCTGCCCAGGAGCATCAGCAGGGAGCTGGATTGGAAGTGGAACAGCCAGGACTCGAACCAACATCAATATGGGAAGCTGGCTCTACAGGTGGTAGTTTTATTTTGTTTTAAGATTTATTTTTATTGGAAAGGCAGATTTGTAGAGAAAAGGAGCTACAGAAAGATCTTCCATTTGCTCGTTCACTCCCTAAGTGACCACAGTAGCTGAAGCTGAGCCAATCAGGAGCCAGGAGCTTCTTCTGGGTCTCCCAAGCTGGTGCAGGACCCTAAGGTTTTAGACCGTCATCCACAGCTTTCCCAGACCACAAGCAGGGAGCTGGTTGGGAAATGGAGCAGCCAGGATATGAACTGGTGCCTCTGTGGGATCCCAGCACGTGCAAGATGAGGATTTAGCCAATTGAGCCATCGTGTGGGGCCTTATACATGACAGTTTTACCCACTGCGCCACAGTGCTAGTCCCATCCCCTCCCCTCACTTTAAACACACATACGTCCTTGGGGTGTCCAGGAAGCCTGAAGGGACTTCCCTGAATTATTCAGCAGGAACTTATTGAGCAATGACTATGTGCTAGTTTCACCCAGTGGGGATGAAGCGGGGAACTGGACAGGCCCTTGCTCTCGCATGTTCTGCATCTCAGCGGGGGAGACGAACCCTGCAGTGCTGGGTGTGCCACAGGGGCGTTAACCCTGGGCCTTTGAGAAGCAAGCTCCCACAGGCTGAAATGTGCTAGAAATTCATTACCAGTAAGTCTTGAGAGAATGTGGGAGAAACCAGGGGACAAGCAACAGGCATTGAGAACCAACAGGTGTATCCAACCTGTGAAACAGAGTGGGGGAGGGAAGATGGGTGTGGGGCGGGATAGCAAGGGTGTTGGGGGAGGTCAGAAGGCGGGGAGAAGCACCTTGGACTACAGTGTGGATCCAAGCAAGGCTTGGCAAGCCCGGCCTCTGCCACAGGCCCCAGAATTGGGCTGCTTCCGTGTCCCTGGGAGCAGACTTGGGCGCACAGAGGTCACTGCGGCTCAGCATCCACGAGGACAGGGACAGCTGGGAATGAGAGCGGGGCGGGGCGAGGAGAGACCTCTCCCAGAAAGGGAGAACTGCACAGAGAGCTGAAGCTAGTGAGGCTTTCCGGGTGAAGAACATTCCAGAAAGCAGTATGTGCAATGGCCCTGTGACTACAAGCATAATTGGCATGTTGAAAACAGCAAGAGGAAGGTGTGGATACAGAGAGGAGTGGTGCGTGAGGCCGAGGGGCGGTCTGACAGTGGAGGTCTTGCCCACCACTGAGGGCACCAGCCCCTCCGTCCCAGGGAAGTTCCAGAGGAGGGGTGTGGTCTGGCTTGCAAGTCTCAAGACTTTCTTACTGTTGGAAGTGGGTTAGGGAGTCAAACCCAACTCTGCCAGACTTCAGCTCTCACCCTGTATGTCCCAGGCTTCCCTGCCCTCTACCTAGGAGGTTCCCTGCCTTCTTCCAAGGAGGTTCACAGCTGTCCTGGGATTCCTGGGTAGTGGCTGTGCAGACTGAGAGGGGACCATGTCATCGGAGCAGGTGGTATGAACCCGCTCAGCTCACACAGCCT